TCCCCCCCTCCTCTCTCTTTGGGGTGTCAATTGGCACAACGGTGCACAGTTCCCCTCCCCCAATTCCTCCTGGACCCTTTTGCAGAAGGAAGTATGGAAGCCAGACACCAACTCACTTCCCATCCCGGCCACCAAGTTGGCAGCCGCGCCAGCCCCGCGCCAGGCAGGCTCTCCGCAAAAAGAGTGCCCACCAAGTATCCAAGAACCAAGAAAACTGTCTGGGCTCTTTTTTTTTTTTCGGTCAAAGCATCAGTTTTAAGTACACTTGCATCTCCCCCGTCCACTCAGCCAACCTTGGGACATAATTGCATAGCTCGGGAGACTCTTCTACGAGTCGGATTAAAGTCGCCCAAAAGAGCCTCGAAGGTCATTACTTTTGTGTGTGTGTGTGTGTGTGTGATTGGGCCGCTTTTAAAGTTTTGATCACAGCATCTCGCTCAATTTTGATCACATCTCCCAGCCAAGAGGCGCTTATCTGCAGTGAAGGCAGGGAATCCTGCAAAACCCTGGCAGGAGCCGAAGCGCCCAGAATTTCCAGGGGCTGGGGGGGGGCACGAGTTCTGGAAAGAGGTCTGTTACTTTTTATTCGTACAAGAAAAAAATATAGCGCTGTTAGCATCTATTTTACATTCTCCCGCTCCCTGTCCCCTAACACAAATGTAGCCCTGTTAAAAATATACATATACATATATATATATAATATCTATATTCTTTAGTATTTAATTGCCATTCCCACAAAAGTATCGGCTCAGCAAAACGGAGCCAGATTATGTCTACTCAGCAGAACAGAGGTAGTCTAGAAAATGAAATCATCATAATAAGAAGAGCATGTGTGGAAAGAAAAAAAGTTATTCTCTGCAAGTCAGAGAATTTAATACAGATCTATCAATGCATTCATGGGAATGGGGCGGAGGCAGCATCCGTGAAGGAGGGGGGCAACGCTTTTTATTCCCAACTAGGTTAGGCTTTTCTCTTTTGTCTTTCCTGCTTTTCAAGTCGCTTTAACAGTTTATTGCTTTTGTTTAAAAAACAAACAAACAAACAAACACCCCCCCAAAAGCCCTGATTCTATGCTTGGTAACCCTTCTTACTACACTGGGTCCAACTGTATGAAAAACAGGTCCCCCTTTTGCACAGAAAAATACCACCCACGCCGCGAGAGTCCTGTCACTTGCCGATTCCTTCCTCCGCACCCCTTCCACCGACACAGGTATTCAATTCCTGGCAGGAGTTTCTCAACATGTATTTTAGAAACAGTGAGGCCCAATTAATCTACCAAGGCTAAAACCAACTATGACGCGGTGTTTGTTCAGAAAAACGACAACAGAGAACAATGGAGAAGAGGAGGAGAGGGAGACGGGGTGGGTTTGTACTCCGAAGAGCGAAGAGCCAGGGAGGGGTCCCAACACTGAGAGACGAGCCCCATTTCCAACTCAGAAGTCCCCTTTAGGCGGCAAAAAAACCTCCTCAAAAATATTTTTTTAAAAAAACACAAAGTTGTTAATATTACTGAATAAGAAGAGACTCACGATTTCAAATATTTTTTTTTAAAAGACAACCTATAGGGAATGGTGGTTTTAATCCCTTTGAAATGCTTTTTTAAAAAAGGAAGCAGGCCAACCCGACAAGAAGGAAAGAAGGAAGGAAGGAATGGGGCTCCTGCCACCCAGTGCGCTGGTTCCACCCCTTTGGGATTCAAAGCTTTGGTCTGGAAGATTCGCTCCGTGCGGCGACAGCGCACTCCACAAAACGCACTGTGTCCCCCCGGGGTAGGGGGGGCGGCCCCTGCCTATGGCCCCTGGGGCCTGCCTCCCCCCTTTTTCAGTGCACCCCTTCCCCTGTAGCTGCAGCCCCTACTCTGCCACGGCATTGGGTGCCCCTCACCCTGGTCAGCGGCGGCTTCTGCCTCCCCCGACCTGCCCAACCCTTCTTGACAAGATGCGGGGTGGAAGAGGCGAGGGAGACGGAAGATAAAATTATTGCATTCCCCATAACCCATGGGTCCAGACACCCACGTGCAGGCGAGGCGCTCTCAAAACCGGTGGATGAAGGCTTCCCGTTCTCGCTCCTTCCTCTTCAGCTCCTCTTTGTAACAGCAGGAGCAGTAGTTCCCGGTTTCCGGGCGTCCGTAATAACTGCAGCTTGGCTGCCTGCATTTGGTCTGCTGGACGCCACCGTAGAGCAACCGTGTCTTGGCCTGATCGCCGTGGACTCCCTTTGGGGAGCCCCCGTCCGGCTCAACATATTCCCGGAACCCATTACTGGGGAGAACCGGGCAGGAAGAGCCCTCACGCTCGGTGGCCGCATAGCCCGGGGGCACGTCCGTTTCTGTTGGGGAGAAGTGGGCCCCCGGGTGGGAAGGGCTGGCTTGGTAAGGGTGAGGGCGGCCCTGGGCACAGTGCCTGGGCAGGGTGGCGTAAGAAGGGAGGGGGGCGCAGTTCCCACCCGCCAGCTGCCTCCGGCTCTCTTGGTAGCTGGGGGGGTGGGGGCTTTCCAGGCTACCCGTCATAGATGGACGAGGAATGGTGAAAACCCCGGAGTAGCTGGTGGGGAAGCCGGCCATCTTGGCCCCCACGGCAGCCAGATCGGGGCCTTGGAGGCTGTAGGGGGAGAGTGGCGGGGGGTAGGCGGAGTTGAGCCCCACCTCCTCTCCTTTGAGGGGCGGGTTGCCTTCCGGATCCAGCCTCTTGCCTGCCCCACTGCTCCCCGGACCCACGGCAGCCTTCCTCTCTGCTTCTTTCTGCTTCTGCTCGGCAGCGAAGCGCTCCTCAGCGTCCGAGAGGTACCGCTGGATCATCTCCTCCTGGTACTGGTGCCGATGGCTGGTCTTGAGCTGGCCGGCAAAGATGAACTTGCGCTCCCCTTGCATGGCCGCCCGAAGGATGCCGAGGCTCAGCTTGACGTCGCTGCTGTACTTGCAGGCCTCCGGAGGCTTCTCGCCGCTCGCCTTGCCGGGTCCCACTGCGGCCACCAGATCTCCGGGAGAGGCCTCTTCTTTGCTGCCCTTCCTCACCTTGATGGACCCCTTCTTCTTCTTCTCCAGCGTCTCCCCGTTGCTCGCGCTCCCCTTGACCGCCCGGCCGTGCATCAAGCCCCCCATGTTCTTCTTGAGCTTGCTGCCCAGGGTCTTGCCAAAACTCCCGAGTTTGTTGGCCACCGAGTCGGCCCGCTTCTTCTCCTTGTCCTTCTCCCGCTCCCGGTCCTTCTTCGACTTCTCCTTGGCGCCACTGTTGCCCTTGCCGCTGTTGCTGGCGGAGCTGCTGCACACTGACTCCTTGTCTGAATCCCCCGAGTCTGCAGCGGACCGGGCCTCGTCCCCGGGAGACGCCGTGGGAGACTCCGGCTGTGCCAGAGGGGCCTGGGGAGAGAGAAAAAAAGGGAGGAGACAGGCGGCCTTAGGAGAAAGTGGCTGGGCCTCCCTCAAACCCGTGAAGGAAGCATGCCTCGGATGTCCAGATTTTTGTCTCTCGGGTCCCAAGCCTGTCTCGCCCCATCTTGTCCACTGTGCAAGGGCCCTCTGGGTGGGGTTGAGGGCCCAATGCTCTCCCAGCCCTCCCTAGGGATCCCTGGATCCTCCGTCAGCCTGATCCTGACCGGAAGAACGATTCTGATGCCCACCCAACCTCCTTCAAAGAGAGAACCCTGCTTCTTTATCCATCCTGCCTCATCCCCACCGTACCTGCATGTCACAAGGCAGCGTGATCCACTTCACAATCATGTAGCTGTGCAGCAAGTGAAGTTTTGCCTCCAGCGACAGCGTCACGCTGAAACGAGGCCGAGCCGTGCAGAAACAGAAAGCGAGAGGCGGCGTCCCGTTAAGTCAGAACCCAAAGGTCCCCAGAGAGCCCACAGAGGCTTCCACCCCACCCCACCCCGGCCATGGTTGAAAGAGGACAGGAAAGAACAGAGCCAAAGCAGGGGCTTGGCACTGGGAGGGTTTCGCAGCCACTGGGCCTCTTCCAGGCAACCCCCAC